AGTAGAAAAACTATCATTCCATCTACCAGGTCAGCAACTGGTAGTTTACAATGAAGATGACCCTGTCGAAGAAGTAATAAACAAAATTTCGGTCGGGATTTCCAAGTTTGTAGCATGGATGGAGGCCAATAAGATATATCCAGAAGCAAAAAATCTCACTTATTCAGAGTTCCCATCACACTTTGTTTGGCATCAAAAAACAAGAATGTGGAAACCAAGGCGAGGGGGTGTGTTATTGAAAGGATCACTTATGTGCCACCATCTTTAGGGGAAGTGTATTATTTAGGGGTTTTGCTAAATATAGTCAGAGGTCCAACAAGCTTTGAAGAGATAAAAGCAGTAAACAGTTTTGTCCATGAGACATACAAAGATTCATGTTATGCACTGGGTTTGCTGGACGATGATAAAGAATACATTAAAGCTATTAATTAAAGAAGTAAGTCTTTGGAGCTCGGGAAAGTATCTACGGAAGCTGTTTTCAATAATATTGCTTTCAAACAGTGCCACAACTCCAGTAAATGTATGGAATGCTACATGGGAAATACTATCTGAGGATATGTTATACAACCAGAGGAAAAAAAAAAAGAAGAATCTCAGTAAGATCATTTGTAATACAGTTTTTTAAAAATAAATATATCAATCATTATCTGTTTGAGTTTCAGTTCCTTCTTTTTAGGTTTCAGATTTGAGTTTATCCGAGGATCAAATAAAGAACTTTGCTTTGGCGGAGATTGAATCACTCATGCGTATCAACGGAAGCTCACTGGCCATGTTTAACAGTATGCCATGTCCAGATGCTTATGCATATGATACTGATGTTAACACTTTGATCAGTGACGAGCTAAACTACAACCATGATGAGAAAAGGGACAAGCACAGAGAGCTATTAGCCAAGATAACAGATGAGCAAAAAGCTGTGTACCAAGAGATACTAAATGCAGTAAATGGCGATAAAGGTGGTATGTTTTTCGTCTATGGTTTGGAGGGACTGGAAAAACTTTTCTTTGGAACATCCTAGGTGATGCAATTAGATCATTAGGAGAAATAGTGTTGAACGTGGCATCCAGTGGAATTGCTTCATTGCTTTTGCCAGGTGGCCGGACAGCTCACTCAAGATTTGCAATACCAATTAATGTGAACAATTTTACGACATGTAAAATGAAAAAGGAATTAGATCAAGCGGAATTGGTACAACAAGCTAAACTTATAATTTGGGGTGAAGCTCCAATGATGAGCAAATACTGTTCTGAAACTGTGGATAGAAGCTTGCGTGACATAATGGGATGCGATGAGCCTTTTGGAGGTAAAGTTTTTGTTTTTGGAGGAGACTTTAGACAAATTCTACAGGTAGTAACAGATGGTGGTAGAGTATAGACCGTTTTGGCTTCTCTGAATTCATCATATCTCTGGAAAAGCTGCAAGGTTCTAAGACTTACAAAAAACATGAGACTTATGGCAGGACTTACCGATAGCGAAGCTAAAGAACTTGAAGCTTTTTCTAAGTGGATTCTATACATTGGTGATGGAAATATCAATCAACCAAACGATGGAGAGGTTGAGATTGATATTCCTGAAGATCTCCTGATAACTGAGTGCGAAAATCCTATAGAAACCATAGTGAAGGAAGTTTACGGACCATCATTTGCAGAGATACGAGATCCCAAACTTTTCAAGGAAAGAGCTATATTGGGTCCACGAAATCAAGATGTTGACAGTACCAACGAGTATATGTTATCCCAATTATCAGGTAGCATACTAATTATTTAAATAGTAACTTTATTTGTTGGAGTTAAGACATCTAATCTTATGTACACTGAGTTTTATTCCTTATAGGTGAAGAAAAAACTTATCTAAGTTCTGATGGTATTGATACATCGGACAAAGGCCCAAAAGATAGCATGGTTTACTCTCAAGAGTTTCTAAACAGCATAAAGATCTTTGGATTGCCAAACCACTGTTTGAAGTTAAAGGTTGGTGCAATAATTATGCTACTTAGGAACATTGATCCTCAAGGTGGTTTATGTAATGGAACAAGGCTGCAAATTACTCAATTGGCTGATCATGTTATTGAAGCTAGAATTATAACGGGGAAAAAGAATGACACAGAAGGTGGTGAAAGGGTCTTAATACCAAGGATGTTTGTATCTCCACCAGAGATCAGATTCCCTTTCAGGATGCGTCGTAGACAATTTCCCGTTGCAGTTGCTTTCGTAATGACCATAAATAAGAGTCAAGGTCAAACACTTGAAAAGGTTGGTTTGTATCTTCCAAAACCAGTTTTTACTCATAGACAATTGTATGTTGTAGTTTCAAGAGTAAAATCAAGATCAGACCTAAAATTTCTTATCACCGACAAACACGGCAAGCCTCAGAGAAAAACAATGAACATGGTGTACAAGGAAATCTTTCAAAACATTGACTAAGTTTCTTTTTCCTTTTTTACCCGAGCAAATCATATTACAGAAGTTGTATTTTAGATTCTGGATTTTCAGTTTTTTTTTTGTTTCATGATTTAATATTAATTTTAAGGCCATCAGAGTAGCAATGTTGGTCCTAACCAGTGTAAGGCCACCTCTAAGCAAATCGTATCCCATGTCCAAAGAGGAAGAGATTTGGCTAAACTTGGGATAAATCAGACAATAGGAGAGACTAGAAAATGAGTTTGTAGCCAGTCTAAGATCGTCAAGAATGGTTTGTTTCCAAGTCTGTGGAAGAGATAATATTAGTAGCTGCTACAAGTAACAATAAGAAGAGTAAAACGTGTGGACGAGGAGGAATGGTGAAATCCAAAGAAGCATGAAAACAAATTTGAGAAGTTGTGGGATTATAAAAAACAGAGAACTCGACTTTCGCAACACTTACATTAAGGTGTTTTTATAATATTATGATAGATATTTTATCTCTTCAAAAACATGTGTAACTTACACAAAATTACACAACATTTGATTCATGCATATATTAAAGCTGAAAAAGATAATACAAAACGTTTCATACATAGCAACATTTTACATAGTTTATTAAAACACAAACATACCATTACATTCATAACCTTGCATAAGAAAACAAGCACACGACATTACTATCACAAGTAACTTAGAAAAACAAGTGAGAAGACCTTAAAGTAGAAGCATTCGTAGAAACCGTGAATACAACACATGAGTTTTTCAAAGAATACCAGTGTAATATTTGACAAACTGGTATGTCCTTTTGAAGTAGTAACACTCCTTGCAAAATTCTTTCATGTCATAACGCTTGCACTTTGACCGTGGGGCAAGGTTAACCATGTTTACATAGTAGTCTTGCGGTATAGTAACATCGATTTTTTTGAGTGAGATCTTGAGACTTTCCCGGCAATTATCAGAGGTCGACATTTTCTTTGACCATTCGAGTTTATCCAAATACTTTATGCCTTTAAAATAGTGACCTGGAGAAAGTATTAACAAACCATAAACATACATACCGTTTTTATTATTTCCAAGAGCTGCTAGACGTAGATGACGAAGACCTTTGTGTTTATCCTTGTGGACAAAGTATTGTAATAACCTTCAATATAGTAAGCTCCGGGGTTATTATTCTGTAAGCAAAGTTCCTTTAACTTTGCATGGTCGTTGAGCATCAGTAGTGGCTCAGCAACAAAATATCCAAGATCCATGTTTCGGAAATAGAGGCTGCGATCTAAGTTCGAGTCACCTCTCTCCCCGTCGTAGTTGGAGGCCGCATTCGTATTGTTGGTGTAGGGGGCATCACTGTCGTCGGTGTTGTAATTCTTCACAGAGTTTTCGGAACCCATTTTGTTTTGTTTTTATTTCGATACTCTCACTCTATTGCTTAGTGTTGTGAAGAAGATAGATGATTGCTTAAATAAGAAAGAGTAGAAGAGTATATGAAAAGAGAAAAAGATTGATACAAAGCAATTTCATCTCTTTATTGGAAGTTGCATCGAATCTATGATGGCCTAACCCACTTACTTAAAAAGCAAAAAACAGAGGAGGACTGAAGAGAGAAGAAGACAAATAACGAAACAGGTTTGCCTCTATCACTCTCTGTAATCTTTGAAAGAAAGATATCAAAGGCTGTTTTCGAATGGAGGAATATTTTGGAAGTAGACAAGATAACACTGTTGTTCAATGTGTTGTCACATAGTTTTTTTTCAAGAATAATGGTTTTGAATAATGGTTCTTTCAAGATAGAGAAAAAAGCTGATGTAAAAGGTGATAACACACTGATCAAAAACAAACATTGCTAGCATCTTCCTAGATAAAGACAACACAAACTTCAATTGCTTGACACAACACTGGAAAAAGTGACCCTTTCTGCCTATTCTCTACATTACATTCATTAAATGCAAAGAAATTTTATGTAGTATTATCAAGACTTTAAACTTTAATAAAACCTTACCAAAGAACATGAGAAACGTATCTCAGAAATAGCTGTCCATAGATAACTAATGAATAGCTTAATATTTACCTTGTACTATTGATTTGGTGCTCATTAGATGATGAGATTGAAGCTGGATTGTGTCTAAGCTGGAATATTGACTCACCAAATAGATATGTTCCAAATTCACAAGTTTCTTCTTATAAAAGAAAACAAAAGCAGAGACTAAAAAAACAAAAGTCACAACTGAATTATGAGTCCATAACGTACCGTTTACGGTTCATACACTAAACTCTCTGTCACAGCGAAAAACACAAACAAATAGTTATGAACTATTAATCTACTCGAACGACCTATATACTTCAACAAAACTTTGTTAAACTATGCATGAACAAAAATAATATTTCATTATACGTATACTATTCTTCGTCACCATAATCCTCTAAAGTATATGTTAATATGTTAATCGCGGGCGGATCACTTAGTAGTATTGATATATTAAGGTTGAGGGTATATATCTATTTTAACTTTTTTGCTTTAAAAAATAAATCAATTCGAAATTAAAATTTAGACAGGAAGTTTTTCAGATTTATAGGGGTAAGGAAGGGATCAGTTTAGGTGGAGAAGAAGCTTGTTTGGGAAGAAGTAGATGGAGACGAAAAAGAGAGAGAGTCGGCAGAAGCTGGTGAAACTAAAAGACGCCACTAACCTAATCAACCAACACGTTAATCTCCTTGGTTTCGTTCTTGAACGAAGACAACCCAAGCAATGCTGCAACAAGGGTAAACCCTTTCTTAGATTTTTGTCTCAATCTAATTGGGACCTATTATTGTCTCTACTAAACACTTCAAATTGCTTACTTGTTGTCAGATTGGTTTTGTACGCTTCATATAATCGACGATTCCTACCACACTCCTGGCCTTACTGTTAATGTATTTAGTAATAAATTTGAAGAGCTTCCTCGTACCGATAACCAGTACGATCGCATGATTCTGTTCATAAACGTCAAGGTACATTGCTTATGCTTTGTGCTTTTATATCCCTTGTCTTAAAGATATACATATAACTCATTTAAACAAACCATTTCTTTGGGTCTGTAGATGCAAGCTTATAATGGTGGGAGAAACGTAAATGCTGCCTGTAACAAAAGGGTTTCTTCCTTTGCCTTGTATAAAAGAGGAACCGGCCAGGAGGATTTTGTTTGTTACCAATGCACCTCGAATTTTCTTGGTGATGAGAGATACAAGAGTTCTATAGACGAGCTAGGCAAATTGTTTGCTACTAGTGGCTTCTTTGATCAAGGACAAGGTGAGCATCATGTGGAGCTAGCTTATCTTTCACATTCTCATCTTGCTTTCAATGGCCTTAGATAGGTGTTAAAAATGGTAGCTATGATCAGTAACAAAACATTGTATTACATTTTATAAGCATATATAACTGTGAAAAGCTTTGATATTCCACTTTTGGTTCCTAGCTTTACAGAGTTTATCTTACAAGACAAAAGCTCAACCTCCAAAGTTTTCATTTTTGAGAGAGATTAATGAAGAAAAACGCTTCAATCTGGTCTGCAAGGTAACATTGAGTCTTAATTCAAGAAGAAAAAACTTCATGATTACTTACAACTGATCCTTGTTTTCTACTTTTTAGATCCTTCATGTCAGTGAAGATAAGAGCACCATTTTTGTTTGGGATGGAACTGATGCACCCCCAGCTTCTATGTTAGTATTGCAACAAAATTTGATCTTAAAAGTTTAAAACTTTTCCATATTATATGCTTACTCTTCTTCTCTTTGGTATACAATGTTGTTGACTTTTTTAACAGTAGGTTTAGAGACACGTCAGTTAGCAATATCTCAGTTAATACTCTTCTCTCAAGAGATATATTGCGCAGCTTTCCCACTGTTGGAACCGTATTGAGAGTCTCTCTAAGTAATCCTCAGTTTGGTGGTTTTAAACCTGGTGACTGGTTGAAACTGTACCAGTTACTTTGTGTATTTGATAAGGGATCTTGGATAGGTAAAGTTACAGACTCTACAGCGGTTAGTCTCGCACAAGATGATCGCTTAGTAGAAAAGATTATGAGGTTTGTGACTTTTTTTAGTCTCCTGAGATTACTTGTGACATTTCTGCCTACCACAATAATGTTCTTTTCTTGACAAAAAAAACTAGGATTTATGATAAAAGAATAACATCAAAGATGGGACACATTCCGTTTTGGAGTTTTCCATCTCCTCCTGGATTAACAGGTTACAATGATTCATACATAACTTTTTTGTTATAGAAAGATTACATTTTCCGGTTTTAAATGTCAACATTTTGTTATGCTTCAGAAATAGATGATGATGAAGCCCCATTTGTTACACTCATGGACATTATAACTTTCCCCAAGGTAATGTACCGATTTGGTTTTAACATCATATTTGAATGTAGAATGAATTATTGTGACTTGGATTTATTACAGGTTACATACAAATACAGATGCATTGTTCGAGTTGTAGCTGCATTTCCTTCGCATGTAGAGGAGTTTTCTTCAGACGAGAGTGGTCATAACCGGGTTTTGTTAACCCTGGAGGACCCAACAGCAACTTTAGAGGCTTTCTTATGCGGCCAAGACGCAGTTAAACATTTCGGTTTATGCTTCTAAAACAGTAAACAGAAATCAATCATCTCTTTTATAATCTCTAAACCAGAGTTTCTTTTACTGGCAGGAGCTCTTTTGGGGCTTAGGGTTTCAGAACACCGAGATGTTGAGGAATAAGTGGAACCAGTTGCTTGGAATAAGAAGGGGAAGCTCATCTTTCGCTGCAAGAAACCCACCATGGATCGAGTGCTGTATCTTCTCGTATTATACCAATAAAGCTGACCCTTGGAGAACAAGATCGTACAAAATATTTGGCACTCGCCTTCTTGATTAAGGAGCTATTTTAGTGGTCAAATGACTAGAAAGTTGAGGTATTTAGGCGTTGTAGACCATGTTAATAAATGTAGGGATGTTCTTGGCTGTTATGTAGATCATATCACGTGGTTGCAAATTTGTTTAAGTAGATATTGGATGCAAGGGATATGGTCTATAACAATGAATCAATCTGGTTAGAAATCATCGAATCAGACTTTATATCACCGGAAACAATTGGTCTCAACCCAGAGCTCTTAGGGAAGAAATACCAACGCAACTTTAATTTTGCTGAACAACTATTTTCATTTTCAAAACATAAATGTTTATCAAAATGTTGATATAAGTTGAGCTCATGCATAGATATAATAATAATAATAATAATAACTATCTTTTTATCAAAATCCTAATCTATACTATATAAAAGTTGAGGCTATAAGCCATTGAGAGCGTCCACGTAGGATTTAAGTCCTCCAATCGTAAAATGACACATCATTATTTTAGTTTATTATTTTTAGAAAATGTTATTGTTTCCAAATTATATTAAAAACGAAATTAATATTCCATATATAACTTAGCTAACAAAATAAATATTAACATTTTACAAATTACTTAAAAATGTTAACTGTTATAAAAAATGGAAAATCAAAAATAAAAACGTAATATTAACAAAACAATATTGTCTTTTTAGATATACTAAATGTAAAGTATCATTTTTAGAAAATNTTAAAAATGCTAACTGTTATAAGAAAATGGAAAATCAAAAATAAATTTTTTTTTGACAAAACATTATTGTCTTTTTAGATATACTAAATGTAAAGTATCATTTTTAGAAAATGTCAATGTTTCCAAATTATATTAAAAACAAAATTAATATTCCAAATATAATTTAACTAAAAATTAAATATTAAAACTTACTTAAAATGTTAACTGTTATAAGAAAATAGAAAATCAAAAATAATTTTTTTTTTTTGACAAAACACTATTTTCTGGTTAGATATACTAAATATAAAGTATATTTTATACAAAAATAAAATAATGATCTAATAGTAAAATAGTAAAAGTAACAAAAATCATCTTACAAAGATAAAATAAATTTAATTTAATTTTTTTAAAAAAATATCATTGTTTCCAAATTAGTTTAATTAAAAATATATATATTATCTAATAAATTAGGTTATTAATATAAATTATTAGTTTAAAATGTTAGATTTCGAAATTTTGAATGTTAGGATTTCCA